GGTGGTGGTGGTGGCGTTGGTGGTGGTGGTGGTGGTGGTGGTGTTGGTGGTGGTGGTGGTGGTCTTGTTATAGTAGTAGTTGTTGTTGTTGTTGTTGTTGTTGTTGTTGTTGTTGTTGTTGGTGGTGGTGGTGGTGGTGGTTTCGTTTCTAATGGACACGTACATGTACACTCTGTTGTTGTTGTTGGTGGTGGTGGTGGTGGTGGTGTTGGTGGTGGTGGTGGTGGTCTTGTTATAGTAGTAGTTGTTGTTGTTGTTGTTGTTGTTGTTGTTGTTGTTGTTGTTGGTGGTGGTGGTGGTGGTGGTTTCGTTTCTAATGGACACGTACATGTACACTCTGTTGTTGTTGTTGTTGTTGTTGTCGGTGTACATTTCTTACAGTAGTGGAAGAACGATCGTCTTTCTAACTGTATATGTTTATTAGTTCTTGGAACAATTCTTTCAGAATATGTTTTTTGTTTCTCCTTTTGACGTTTCCCAATTATGCATTCTTGAGGTATTGGCTGATTTCCTAAGTGAATGTTAATCTTAATCCGAATTTGTCTTTTATTATTATTTTGTTTTCCTAATGGGGCTTGCATATTTAGAAATGGCCGTTGTAGAGGTGGGTGTTGAAATTGTGGGGATTTGCTAACGGTAGAAGACTGCACTTGGGAGGATATTAAGTAAATAATCAAAATCCGCAAATGCAGAACCTGAAATCAAAATAAAGTAGTGAAATACCATTAAAAATCCCTCTTCATTATTTTTCCAGTGGTTTTATTTCTTAGTTTTATTATTTAATTACTTATTTATATGTAATATAACGGATCAGTATCAGTGGGTGTAGGAAATAGAACATTTGCACTCGGCTAGTACAAAGGTACAAATTTCACCTGTGTGTATATATATATATTCATAATCACAATATAAGTACATTTATGCTCGAGGGGTATTTTGTCAAATTAGTTTTAATAACACACATTTACACATAACATACGGATACATTCAAATTATGGAAATTAAGCAAAGATTTGTATAAAAAATATTTTATTTGTCAACTATTTTCAATAATACATATATTCATTTTACAAATTCTCCAAAACACTATTTGGTTCAAGCTTTCGCTGCCATCGTTAATGTTATTGTGGTTTTTCGGGCTTTCTGGTCGTGGAGATCTCTACTGACTACAGCAGCAATAATATCTTCTGAAGATGTCGTCGTCCATGCGTGGCGACGAAACGTCTAGTATAAACGTTGAAAGACGACGGCCAGAGAGCCCGAACAACCACGACAACATTCTCCAAAACAGTTTGACATAATTTTAAGATACTGAATTGTAGACAAGGATCTGTCCACATGCACGTACGTAGATACATTATTATTAACTTATTATGTAAATTACTTACTTCAGCACTGAGTGCAATTGTCCTAAGAAATTAACATACTTTACTTGCTGGAATGCAATTGTCCATTGCCGGTATCGGAATAAAGTGTTTTTATATTTAAGTTAAACTATTTCTTTTTAAACATTTTTAGTTGCTACATTTACCTGTCTGTTTACTGAAAACATTTCAAAATCTTCAAACGGGTGGAAAAATTGCTGAACGAACAATTGGTTTTACACTACAGCTTTGGAACTTGTTTTTATTTTTCTGAAGAGTTCTCACACTACATTTTTTTTTTAAATATTAATACCCACTCCTTATTTTCATAACATATTTTAATAATCGTTTCTAAACAATAGGCAACTAGATTTTACTAATAAGGTACTGATAGGTCTCATGTTAAAATTATTAGGTAAATTGTTTGCTATTGTTGAACAACCATTGCTTTTAATTAGTAAAATTATTTTTCGTTTTTATTGTGGTCTTTGTCTTTAAAGATAGGCAGTAGATTATTAAAACAATCTGCTTAAAATAAAAATAATCTTAAATAAATTTCCTTAAATTTCTTGCATGCCACTTATTTTAAATCTTTTTGGAAATCAAAATCACAGTTATTAGAGGACTATTACTAATAGTAACATACATTAAATTTAAATACAGTAGAACTGTAGGGATAGATATAGAGGGGCAGAAGATTAGTTTGCTTAGATTTGCAGATGATTTAGCAGAATTAGCAAGGAGCAGTAGAGATGTTTTAAATAAAATGGAAGCGGTATTGACGAAACAGTAGTGTATGAAAATAAATAAAAGTAAAACAGAAATACTGCAAGTGAAGAAAAAGTAGGGAAAGAAGGGAAATATAATGAAGAAAACGAAAATTAGAAGAAGTGGCCGATTTTAGGTATCTAGGAAGTTAGATAAGTCAGGACGGAAGGAACAGTAGGGATATAAAACAGAGGATGGCGCAGGGTCGAGTCGCCTTCAATAAAAAGGAGTCACTTCAATGGTCGAGAACGGTTAATTTGGAAACTCGAAAAAGGTTGTTAAAGGTGTATGTTAGGAGCACGGCGCTGTACGGGTGCAAAACATGGACAGTGGACGCTGCGGAAAGAAAAAGGTTAGAAGCGTTCGAAATGTGGTGTTACAGGCGAATAATGAGGATACCGTGGATAGAGAGGGTTAGAAATGAAGAGGTATTAGAAAGAATAAGAGAGCAAAGGACTCTATGGAAGTCAATAAGAAATAGATATTCCAGAAAGGGAAGTTAGGAGGGGTAGTAGTAGACCTAAATTAGATTATTGTTCTCAAATAGTTAAGGATATGGATTGTTCTAGCTTAAGGGAAATGCGAAGATTATCGCAGGATCGGAAAGACTATAGGTGCGTGTCCAACCAGTCTTAGGACTGACGACCTTATGATGATGACACAAATAGATTTTTTTAATGAAAATTGCTACTCGTTTCGCATCTCAAGAAATGACTTCGTTTATCAATTTTTTATTCAAACATTCGACATTGTCTTTTATTGTTTGTGTGAATGCTATTCGATTGATTGTTGTTTTCATATTAAAAAATGAATGTTGTATATGCTACTTAGTTACTGTTAATATAATTATTTTCCCAATGGGGTAGCGGGTGGGACCATCTTAGACTTCCAAGAAGTAAATAGTTTTCAATTTAAATTAGATTCCTGACCGTTACTATTAAATTATGTAGTTTTTTCCAGGGAGGCTGTCGAATAATTACAC